CATTGTCATAAACCCCCTGAGTGCCTCATTAGCCACAACAGATCACCTGCCCACTTGTAGGACTAGGGGGGAAACAGACTCTGTCTAAGCAATGCAGTTCAGAGGCTCCTGCAGTCTAGAGGTAGAAGAAAAGTGGGGGTTTAAAAGCAAGATCTCTAGTTTAGCTGTTTCTTGATTCATAGAGGACTGAAATGTGCTTTTTCTCTTTTAGGGGGAAAGGTTTTATGCCGGGGCTCTGGTTATTTTTGCCCCCCTACCATCCTAGCAGGAGCAATTTAATATAGATTTGGAGGGGAGGGAGAGAGGAATGTCACGCTGCTTTTTTCCCCCTATACTTTATATACAGTATGTTAGTCAAATAGTCAAAAGACCTGAAGCACCTGCAGCTCAGAAGTCAGAGGGGCCTACACTGCCACTATGGCTACCTCCATCTCTAAAATAGCACTTTAACTGGAGTTCGCTCCTTTGGACTGAAATAGTATGCAAATAGTCTCCAGATTGGTCCCTGCTAAAATTCAGATTCCTGGTTTAGTAGTTCAATTCATTCCCTGGATGGAGATAAAATGCACTCTATGGATGGGCTTAGCTTCTAGCATGCAGTTAATGGTACTTTCTACAGAAATGGCCTGGGGAGGAGGTGTTAAAATGACTGGATAGTATAGACTAAGCCCAAGGAGCTCAGTGTTGGTCTGTAAGATGCACTTTTCAACTTCAGGCACATATACCCCTCCACCCTCGCAGAAGTCTTTTAAACTGCGATATTTGTAAGCTATACATCCAGCAAGGACACACAACCTCCACCTCTCAGTAACAGTCTTGTCTCATAGATCTACTTAATACTAGTCTACAGCTTCTTTCCCTCAAACCTCTAGCAATCTGGATGCTCTTTCTTCGAGGGAATATGTTTAGCTAGGCAGAAAATAGGCTTCAGTGAATGGTTTTAACTGGAAGGGGATAGTCACATCCTCAAAGCTAAGTACAAGTACTAAATTGTTTAATATTCCTTTCGCCCTCCCACCAATAAAGCTAGCTCTGTAACATGTAATTATTAGTTAATATACCACCTCAACACCAATTTCACTACCAATACTGGGATGCCGAATAAAGGAACGTGCCCAGCTACCAATTTGCCACAGTTGTATAGCTCTCGTAGTGATTCTTTTCAGATGTGCAATAGGTGGGTACGTAGAAACGTGATGGGCATAAATTAAACAACAATGGCAATGCTTGGTCCTGTCCTTTACCACGCTGCAGTGCAATCCTTTAGCAGCTCTAAAATGCCACCTAATCACATCGTTTAATACAGGACAGGAAGGAGGCTGAAGATACGTTATTTTTAGACCCGGGGCACCCTACTAACCCCCCACACCCACCCCCTGCTATCACCACCTCATTTTGCTTCTGCCACTAAATGTAAACTTCTCCCATGCAAGCCAGACTTCCCCGCGGTTATGTTTCCCCTACGCAATAATCGGGAGGCTGCTTTATCTTAAACAGGGGCAATATTGAAGTTAAAATTGAAACAAGCTCGACCAGCCACTTACATCTGGACCAGAAACGCCTCCCATGCTCAACCATTTTTCTCTGGTGGCAGCCTGACAATAGCTAAGAGAGGGAAACGGGGGCTCAGAGTGCCGGGATGGCTACAGGGTACTTACAGGGAACCGCTTTTTCAGCGATGAATGCTGTCCTACTGTAGGACCACGGACAGTGATTGGAGTATACCTCTCTCTGTCCTTGCCAGCTCACGCCTTTCCACTGCCTCAATACGAAGCATTTTTAGCTTTCCCAGAACAAAGGGACTCTTGTATCCCGCATGTAGACTGAATCCTCCCCATATAGGCTTTTAATTTTCACTCGAAGGTTTGAAAAATAATTTCTCCCCCTATATTACAGCAATCCATTCACCCAACTTGGACCTTGCATACCTTCTACCCAGTCATCAGTTTTGACAGCTATTTACCCCAGCTAATCACACGGGCTGCATGTACTTGGTCCAGACCACTACAACTCATTGTATGCGGTAGCCTACATGCCGTCTCGCATCCCTTCAGAACTGACAAAATGCTGTTGGGCTAATGCAATTAGACTTGGGGTCTTATCCCGCCTAATCTGCAAACGTAGGTTTATCTTTTCAAAGCGATACTCATTCATTCATCTGCATGATGTGGGTCCCTTCAGATGTTTTACGCGAGTGATGCATTCAGAGTTAGAAAGGTATTCCTATTATAAGAACTTTAAACCATGATCTAGCTAGTTTATAGCCTAGACACTGAATATGTACATCTGCTTGAATGCAAAATAATGTATATTTTCTCCTGGTGGTCTTAATATTGCCAATACTTCCAGGTATTTGTGCTGTTAACATACTGTAATGTACATGAATTGCTTTAAAGGAAACATAAGGATATGTAATAGATTTAATTCTTTACTGCATGCATCCTACGCTTTCTGGTATTTGATTTAGACATTGTATTAGCTATAGAAACATTAAAAGAATCAAAACACAACTTACCTTTCTCTCTTCAGCTTAAAAAAAAAGTAACGTTGAAGTTCTCCCAATACAAAGGAGTAAGAAGCAGATGGATAGTTCGCAAGACAACACACAAAATCTAAACTGTGGACAGTTTTAAACAGAAGCAAATCAAATGAAAATGCTTTCCCTCCCAATAGTCCAACACTTAAAAAAAAATCAGGAAAATTAAAAGGGAAAGGAAAACTTAAAACAAGGAATGTGACAAGGCTAGCCTCCTATTGCAACACAACTCAACAAAAAAGGGGGGAGGGGAGAGAAATAAAGGAAGGAACAAAGAAAAGAAGGGATGAAAGGACGCGTTACAAAGACGGTCTCTTTCTCTCTGTCTCCTTGTTTCTTTTTAGTAGCTCGCTACAGAAGTAAAATGCTGCATCTCTAAGTGAGAACAGAAATAAAGGGGGAGGACGTCTTAAAAGGGAGGTGGACTGGATCACACAGATTTATAGCAACCGTATCACCCAGCGCTCCTCTGCTTCCGCACCAGTGTGTGCGTGTGTGTGTCTACAGCTGTGCCAGGCGCCCACCTATCCCGGGCGCCACGCGCGGAAGTATACGCCGAAACCCGATACAACGGAACCTGCTGGCAAGGCTGTGCGCCGCGATTGGTGCGACGGGGTTCCTTTGGCGCCGCCCTGGCCCAACAGCCAGTCCCGATTGGCTGCCAGCCGATGTCAATCCGGCACACTCAATGGAGTCCCGTTTCAGGGTGAGTTGCACCGAGAGGTACCACACTCAGCACGGGGGCAAGGCGAGAAAATAGGAGACCCGGAGCAGAGAGCAACGTGGGATGGTTCTGCTTGAACTATCAGAGTTCCCCGCGGGGTGCAATCTTTATCCGTCAGAAATCTTGCTGTTGTAGACAGACTCGGTACTGTGGATTGACTGACGCATCTTTCGCATATTCTTTAACATTAAAATGTCTTGTATCGCCTCTGTCGCTCTCTCTTTAAACATAAAGACAAAAAGAATTGTCTGCACCTCCGCCTTGTTTCTCCTAGGTCTGTTTTCATTACTTTCTAGTGCTTCGTGATTGGTCTTAGTGTTTCAGTCTTTTTTAATACATTGCAGGGACTGGGAGGGTTGTTAGACAACACTTGCAAAGGCAAGAATGGAAAGCAACTATTAGGAAATAGTACTTTCCATTATGTCACCACAGAGTAGGGTAGAATAATTAGACCGTCCTATCCAGAAAGGCGCCGTACAAAGCTCGGAGCCTTTCATTTACAGGTAAATCTAAAAAATTAAGAGTTGATATGGACCACATACTTCTCACGGTCAGGCAAAACATATTTCACTACTCTGCATTTAAAGAAGTTTATAGTACTGACCAATTACTGCAGCAATTTCTCCTCTGACAGTGACGATTGATATTAATTGAGATTTCCAGTGACAAACATCTATGGGGTGGGTGGGGGGGACTTTTCTTATTATATCACTCTTATCTTTCCAAGAGAACCCGGTTGTCTTTAAGACCGTTATGTTGAACGGGAGAAACAAGCCTGCATGATATACTTAGACCTTTCATTGCTCATACTGGTCCTTTATGGCACTTGAACTTTCTGTTTTTAAAATCCGAAATGCTTCCTAGAACGTATTTGCTTCTTTTCCCCTGATACACAATACAACGCGTATAAAGCATTTACAGTAACAAAGCACTTATGCCTTCGGAAAGGAACTCCTTTAGATGCTTATTTAGTGCAATCTGGTATTTGCATCCTGCCGGGGGGGCAAGGGGGTGGGGAGACACACACAATGATTGGAAGAGAGCAGTAAAATAAATTAGTGTTCCTTGAGAGTGTCCTTGAATGTTTATAAATGATTAATGGGATGGAAGAGAAACCTGTTTATCTGCCGTTTGGTCCATATGATCGCCATCTCCTATCAACGCGACAATAACTAAGTAGTACATAGGGCCTGATATTTTACATCTCGCAAAACCATTTATATTTTAAATGTATTTGACATCTTTCTAGAACACGAAGATTTTAGATCATGTGTAATTTAATTTACAGTCTATCACCAACTTTTTGAGACAGGTTGGAACTCCGAAAAAACGGATTAACTCCTCTGATGAACAAGTGGCGAAAGAGTTGTTTTTTGAACTGAAGAGAAACCTGGTGAGGAAAATTGCAAAGAATTATCACTATGATAAACACCTTCCCAACAAGGCGGCTCATACAACAGTCCTATTTAAGTGATGCCTATTTATAGCCAGTTTGTAGAAGTGCATGCATAAATTATGTTTCTAGCAGTTTAAGTTAGTATTCCATAAAGTCCCTTGGGCATGCACTATTTTTCACTTTACTTTGGTCTGTGATTGCTCCTTAATTATAGCAACACGTACCCTTTGAAAAATAACTGTTTAAATGTCTCTAACGATACCACTCTTAACACCTAAATGTTGGTGCTCTTTAGAATGTGGGTGATGTAATATTGCACACACATCAAGTTTAGCATATATATGAGTAAGTCATATTTTGAAAAAAAAAAAAGTAGTTTGCCAGGACGGGTTTTGAAGTGTGGGTCATAACTGAGACTAAGTTGAACAAATAAAACTTATCCGTACTGTGTTGGATTCTTAGACAAAACTAGATTTACTTAGTGATTACTTTTTCTTCAGTCTAGATTATGTAGAATGTTGTTGTTTTTTTAGCAGTTAACACCATTCCTCAACAGTGTATCAGCAGTACGTGAGGGAGGAGAAAATAAACCCACTGAAATCTCTGAGCAGAGTCCTTTAATGTATTGGCAACCCCTTTAAAATAACTATTCACCATATCAATAAATAACTGCTCCTAAATTAAAAGGAGTTTTTAAAGAAAACTCCGAAACTTATGAGATATTGGAAACTAGAAATGTGGCATTTTCAACTTTTCCAGGGAATGAAATGAAGCGCCAGAAGCAGGTGCCCAAACACGTCTGCGGTTCAGACTCTGATCAGAACACTTTTAAACAAAAGAACAGCCCTGCTGTAATTAGTGTTCAATTTTTAGTAATCAAATCCATAACTTCGTACACTAACACTTTTGATAGACTTAAAATCTCTACTGATGAGGCACGCACGTTGGTTGATACAGTGCACTGAGTGAAATTAAGCAGAAAATAGCCCTTAAAGTCCGTGTCTTGTCATTGGCCCTTCTCCTCTCTGATTCGTCTTCAATCTCCTCGGTTGTACGCAATGGCAGCAGGATTCCTCCTCCCCCAACAATGAAATACTTTCCCATAAATTATGTATAAATATAAACCTGCCACATATAATATTGCAGACGATGACCTTTTGGGCAGAAAGTCGCCTTGTTTACTTTTTGGGGGGTCTGTAGAGAGCATTGGGTTAAACTGTGTTAGTTGTTAAACTGCCTTTGCATACTTGAAAGCCATAAAACCCCTTTTAGCCACATATTTGTTTTAAGAGTGCTTAAAACACCCCCATCCTAGGATTAAGACTGGAGGATACTGTACTCGTGATATAAGAACAAATGGGGAATGTTCTATTTAAACGCTTCAGGGCAAGGGGATGCATTCAGTTTAACAGCCAACTTTTTTTAAACCCACTTCATACTAACTGACTGGTAGATATCGACTCCACTCCAGCAAGCTGAGAGGATCTGATGGGTACAAAAATCAGACAAAGTTGTAGGGAGCTTGATACTAACGTACCTGAGTCAATACAAACCCCTAGCCGTCTGACGAACTAATGCAGGTTGTAGGACCATGGACAGAGACAAGCAGCCCCTCACAAGGCTTGTCCTGATCCCTGACACACAACTGCATTCTCTTTCAAAAACTATTTCTAAGAGCCATACGACAGAGCACATTCAGCAACATATGGGAACAATGCTGCTTTGGAGTTAAGTAAACTTTCTTTTTCCGTTCTTTCCCCGTCTTCCCCCTCCTCCCCCCGCTTTTTTTACAGCGACCATAAAGAGTATCACACTAAAACCTGCCTATCCCCAAGCAAAAATCCTCAGTCAAATGTGTAATGTCACTATGGGCTTTTATTTTCTGCTGAAGGCACGTCTTATCTCAAACAAATAATTCCTAGTTAGTGTTGTTCATGTGTGAAATTGTAAGCTGGCAATCGTGCTTTAAAAAAAATCCTCCATCTAAAAAGGCCCTCTTTAGATTGTGTTTACAGTACAAGCTTAGGTTTTGCTCCTGTTATCATAATAAAAAGCATAAGCATGAGGCGTTCAAAACAAATCGTCAGACTGGTATATCTTGCCTCAGAAAAATATCTGCTCTTTAAATGTTGTGTGGGTTTGCGGGGTGGGGATTTTTGTTTTTGTTTTGCCTGACCCTATTCAGAATAATAAGATCTGTAAACTATGTATGAATCTACCTTAGTATAAATAATGCAACTGACGTTGCTATATTTCTTCTCTATTCTATTGTGTAATCAAAAGTCTTAATACCAATACAGCCTATTTCTCAGTGCGAGAGAGGGGTTTTTGTGTGTGGTGGCTTTCTGGAGAGGGTTAAAGTTTCGGTTTCTTTAGCACGAGGTAACAGCAATCGCTTGGCTTTCTGCAAGGAAAGATAAATCTTAATCCAAATAAATAAAATAATAATATAAGTAAACCATCTGTCTGTTCCTGAACATCACTGTGACCTTGTTCATTTTCTACAGTGAAATGGGAAAAGGCAGCTTTCTGCTGCACGACCGTTCTTGTTTGCGGGTAGTTTCTCTCGCCGAAGATTTGGCTTTCCCGTGGTGTGTAATACACGTTTAATTTTAAAATAATAAGACTGGGCACACCAGCCAGTCAATCGGTTCCATCGACCCCTTTTGTGCTTAGATCAAACGCTTGCACAACAGAGAAAGTGACAGCATCAGGGCACGGTAACAAAGCCATAGTTTGTACCAAAAGAAGAGTGAGGCCCAGAGAGACACCGCAGCTAGAGAAACAGCTGTCTTATCAGCACAGTGCAGAGATGGAGATGGCTCAAGAGGTCCTCAACAGATAATCACTTGAATAGGTTTGCAATGCGCCAAACTTCACGCTTGATAAGACCAACCCAATGTAGAAGAGCAGCACAGATCCAGCTCCATTCTATTTTATCTGCGCTGCAAATTAAGAAATTGAAATTCAGGTGGCGCGGGCAGCATGTTGCTGATAGACCACTAAAGTAAACGGTCATTAGAAAGCTTTCGGCAGAGAGAAATAGGCGTCTGTAACTGGATGTTACTTTAATAATAATTAAGAAGTAGCCACCTGTCTTAAAGTGACACCTGAGGTGGGGGGGGGCTGCCTTTTCTTTTCAGCATTGTCACATGCCCCTGCATCATTGAACAAACTTGTTTTGGCTGCGAAGTTTAAAGACCGAGTTTATTGCAAAAGACAAGAGTCCCAACTCCAATTGCAGAGCTAATTTTAATTCCCCCCTCCTACCTGTGGTGCAGAAAAAGAGGCACGGCGACTTAATAAAAACTACCCTCCGCCTGGTATTAAAAAATTGCAAACTGCAGAAGATAAAACCAGGCTTCTGCGAGCACAGATTAATCAAAACTCTTTGCTGAA